TACCTCTTTTTTTTTTTTTTTTTTTTTTTTTTTTTTTTTTGCTTTTCAAGTAAATGTGAGGCTAGGACAGCCCAGGTAAGGTTCCTTTCTTAAACATCTCTCCCATATAAGAAGACACCTGGCCTCTTTACTTTAGGCTCGACTGAGGGGAAGTGGAACAGGCTGAGTCCACCCCCAGGAAACTGAGCCAAGACATTCATTTATGATTTCAGTTTCTGTAGGTCAGAAGCCCAGCCACGACTCAACTGGATCCTCTGTTTAGGTCCTGCAAGGCTGAGATCAGGATGTCAATTGGGACTGCTAGCTCATTTTACAAATCTTTTGCCTGGGATCTTCATCCAAGTTCACTGATTATTGGTATAATTCTGTTCTTCTGGTGGCACTCCCACTTTGAATCTCTCTGGCTTCAGGAAGGGCCAGTCCTTTTTAAGGGTTCACTTGAATAAATGACACCCACTCAAGATAATTTCCCTTTTGATAAGGTTGAACTCAAATTCAACTAATTTGAGATTATATCTGCAAAATTCCTTTACTTGTTTCATATAATAATGGCCTAATCGCAGGTGTAAGATCAATTATATTCACAGTACTGCCTACAATCAAGGACAGATGACTATACCAGGCTTTGGGCTGCCATGAGCTAAGAAGTTTTCCTCTGTTGCTTCCTACCACTATGATGTTTCTGCCTTGGAATCAGCCARTCATGGACTGAAACCTCTGAAACTATGAGCCAAAATAATTCCTTCCAGGTATTTGTCAGAGCAATGAAAAGCTAACTAATACTACCATTAAACACAATAGCATTTAATCTCACAACCAAAACAAAAACAATTCATATGAAATACATATTTAACCATGCAATTTACATCAAGTTCAAAGAGAAAAAAAATTGCTGGCATTAGCAATCAGGACAGTTGGTTGACTCTACAAAAAAGGCAAGAGATATCAGTAGGCTTCTAGGTAGAAATGAGACTCTTCTTTCTTGATCTGGAGAGTATTACGAGGAATATGTTCACTTTGAATAATTCAGTGAGTTGAGCACCTGTGATTTGTGCACATTTCTGTACATCCATTAACATCATTATTGTACCCATGTATGATATGTGATGGGASAGGTAGTTCAATTCTGCAAGAATCTTTCTGAACATCCCTAATTCCAGTCTAATGTTGAGTAAAATATCAGACAAAATCAATTTGAGGAATTTTATACAAAATACCTAATGAGTATTTCTCAAAATTGTCAAAGTCATAAAAAGACAAGGAATGACAGAATGAGAAACTGCCATAGACAATTACAGAAACATGACAACTAAATGCAATGTGCTATTCTAGACAAGATCCTGGAACAGATAAAGGACATTAATAAAAAAAACAAACAAACAACAACAACAAAAAAAACCTGGGTAAATCCAAATGAAGTCTAGGCTTGGTTAGTAGCAACATATTAATGATAACTTTTTAGTTTTGATAAATGTCCCATATGGTGGAATATTAGGAGTAACTGAAACTGAGGGTTATATAGAACTATCTTTGCAACATTTCTATAAGCCTGAAACTACTCTAAAACAAAAAGTTTATAAGGCACCAAGCTGAATGCCTGAACTAAATAAACTAACATTTGTAGATATTAGATATTTAACATATAAGATTAAGAAACTAAGAATTTCTTGAAAAGAGAAAAAAGTAAAAACAAAACAATACATAAAAAAGAGAAATGTAAAGAAATAGATATTTACAATATGGTAAAATCAAGATTGAAAGAGGCATACTACTCTGATGGAATTTGGAAGACAGACAGACAGTGTTCTTATCTTGGCTCTACTACTTATTGACTGGAAAGTTATTTCAGCTTTTTTTCTCATCTGCAGATGGGAATAATACCACCACCCATCTGAGAGAATTATAGTGAGGATTATATAAGATTTCATGTGCTTATTTAATAAAGTATTTTACTGGTATTTAACAAATATTCATTCACTTCCCTTCCCCCTTCACCTACTCAAATGAGGAAGCAGTGAAAGGCTACTAGAAGCCAAGAAACCCAGATTGGAGTTCTTCTACCTCCATCACTTACTACTAGTTATAGGGCCTTACACTAGGCCCTTTTTCACCTGCAAAATGAGTGTGCTAGTATAAACTAGGGATTGGCAAATTGTAGTCCACAAGCTAAAAATCCTAGCCTGCTGCCTATTTCTATAAATAAAGTATTATTGGAACCTACCCATACCCATTTGCTTATGTATTGTCTATGGCTGCTTTTCTGAAATAGCAAGGTTGAACAACAGACCATGTGTCCCAGAAAGCCTAAAATATTTACAATCTGGCTCTTTAAAGAAAAAGTTTGCCAGCCCTGGTCTAAATGATCTCTAAATGCTCTTTCAACTCCAAAATTCTAAACCAACAYGTAAGATAAATATGAAATTTGAAGGTACGCTTCATAAAATGTGTCCCAAGCCTAATGCCTGTTTACTCACCAATTATCCTTCTTATCTGCCACTTCTATAACTTTGAAATTGAATCAGGGAATGAGGCATCTGAGGTGGGCAGCTAGACTCCTGCTAAAATTGTAAACTTCATATGCCCAGAGTTCCTAGAGTTCCCAGATACCAAGGGTTTTTATCCTGTTCCACTCAAGGCAAGTCCTTGAGAACTGGCACCTGGCAATAAAGCAGGAACTGTCAAGGAGTTCTCTGACAACCCTACCTCCAACTGCTAGGTACAAAACAGCAGAGCCTAGGAATACCAAACTGAATGCAAAACAACAACAACAACAAAAAAAAAAAAAAAGAAAAGAAAAGAAGCTGTCTACATTCTCATATTCCAAATGTCCTAATGCTGGACTAGACCTTAAAGAGACTTAAGACATTCTAAACAAAATAGGATAGATCCTCTCTCCCTTCAACCAATTTGGTGGGAGTCAGCCTTATATTCAATACCCAGCTTTACCTTTTGTTTTGTGAAGGAAAACAATGTCATTTTTTTAATGCCTTAGGTAGCTCCCCTATAAAACAAAAATACAGCTGGGCTTAGTGGCTGAGGCAAGAGGATCCCAAGTTCAAGGCTAGCCTTGGCAATTGACTCTGTCTCAAAACAAAAAATATTTTGGGGATGTAGCTCAGTGGTAGAGTGTCCCTAGGTTCAARTCCCAGCACTGGAGGTCAGGAGCAGGGGGATAGAATTACCTGTCTCATAGGATTTTTGCAAATTAAGTGAATTCTCACAAAATATTAAATTTAGTGCCTAGCTTATACTTAATAAATAATAGCTACTGCAAGCTATTACCTATTTAACTTATCACCACTAAATACCTGTTTTTCAGAATTATTGTCCCCTTGAAATATTTCATACCACATACCAGCTGAATAATAATATTATTCTTTTCTTCCTAGCAAACATGTTATTAAAAACACTAACCAAGGTTCTTTTCTTCAAAGCTCTACCCTCTCTCTACTGAAATAATTTTCTTCTACCTTCTAGAAATTCAGTTTAGACACAATAGGTATGAAAGTGATATTTGCATAGGAAATTATAATGGAAATATGAAAGAGAAAAGAAATGCTATTTCAAAAGAGATATTAGTTCTAAATAAAGGAAAACATTTGAGAATGGATTCCAATTTTAGCTTAATAAAACCAAAAGGTGTACATTTCTTTCATTGAAGAAATCTGAAAAATGTTGGAAGACAAAGCAGATAAGTGGCAATATATCTATGCATTTTCATTGGTATTAATTAACCAATAAAATTACGATAACTTGTTAATATTTCTTGCCGAAATTGGACAATAATAGTATAGTAGAAAGTACACAGAATTCTGGGGTCAAATAAACCTCAGCTGAAATCTTAGTTTCACCACTTTGTGTAAATATCAAAATAAGCATAAAGTTTTATTATACTGCTCTTATATTCTTAAAGACCCAGGATTTTTCCAAATATTAGATTAACATTTACTTRTACTGAAAATAAAAAAAATGCCGATACTATATGCAAAGTTTTCAAATAAAAAATTATCTGTTGGGCTGTGGGTAGTTCATTGGCTCACTATTTGCCTAGTATGGGTGAAGTCTTGGTTTGATCTCCAGTACTATAAACACACACACAAAAAAAAAAAAAAAGAAAGAAAAAAAACTTTCAAAAAGAAATGATAAGCTGGGCGTGGTGGGGCAAGCCTGTAATCTCAGGCAAGTTCAAGGTCAGCAAGTTCAAGGTCAGCCTAAGAAACTTAGCAAGACCCTGTTTCAAAATAAATAAAAAAATAAGAAGAGCTATGGATGCCGCTCAGTGGTAAAGCATTTGCCAAGCATACACAAAGCCTTGAATTCAATCCCCAGCACAAAAAAAAAAAAAAGAAAGAAATCACAATAGTTAAACAATCTTAGCATTAGCATAGCATTACTAACTTCTTTACATAAAACAAACAAAAAGATGAAAGGAGTTGTTCAGCTTTCTCTTCTAGTAAATAACAATGTGGGTCCCAAGGCTGAACAAAAACAGGGCAGGCTCTACAGCACAGGTGCATTTAATAATATTGGTATTCTGCTTCCTTGGCCGAATGTGACTGGTGAATTATAGACAAGATTAGATTAGCACAGTTGCACAGATAATAGATTCAAAGTTACTTAAAATAATCTATTTATACTAACAGTAACCAAATGGAGGGGAGGGGGACCCTGCATTTCCAGTACCTTTCAGAGATAAGACCATCCGAGGACACCTGGGCTCCAAATATTTCTTGAGATCATCCCAGGCCTTTTTAATAGCAGCATAATGATCAATGTATCTTCCTACATCTGAGTAAGTATCTATGAAGAGAGATTTCCAACACTGATTCTTCCGTGTTTTCTCTTCCCTAAACAGATTTTAAAAATGAGATTAAAAAATCTTTTCACATAATACCAGGATATATTTTCAACACTTACCAACACACTTTATTGGGAGTTTGTGATTTGCCTTTCTTCTTCACTTATTTTAGCCACAATGGGAGACTAGATAACAAAAAGTAATACATACCTCAAAAATTGTAATAGGAATTACTGCTAACATGATGGGATTGAGTCACTATTTTCTTACTTTCTACTTAATTTTTTCTAAGTTTTCTAATCCTTAATAAAATATAATGTGAATAGTACCCCTACAAAATTTAAAAGTATGTTCTATTTTAGAGAACACTTAGAATCTAATGATAATRACAGAATAAGCCAGAGAATCACAAAGGATTAAAATAACTATATATTTAAACATTTCAATTTGGTATAATTCTGCAAACATTTAGCCACTGAAGGCATAAAAAATAAAGACACTTTTTTTGGAAGAAAGAATAAAGTATAAGTGGGAGAGGACAGAACAGCCACAGAGGACCTGAAGGTCACATACTAATGAGCTTTGGCTTTCTCCTGTAGAAAGCGTAGAGCCACTAAAGGAGTTCAATGGGGAGATTTAAAAAGCAGAATTGGGGCTGGGTTTGTGGCTCAGTGGTAGAGTGCATGCCTAGAATGTGTGAAGTACTGGGTTCGATCCTCAACACCACATAAAAATAAAGATATTGTGTCCACCTACAACTAAAAAATAAATATTTAAAAAAAAAAAGCAGAATTGTGGTTTTAGATTAATAGGGGTAGATTTGAGGGATATAAACTAGACGCATAGAGAGGAATTAGGAAGGTTTTGCAATAGTCCTGATAAGAGAAGATGAACCAAACTAAGCGAGGTGAAATRAATAGGAAGACTTGAGAAATATACAGAAGCTAACCTCAGGAAGGTAACTAAAAGAATGTAAGACAGGAGATCAAAGATGATTCCTAATTCTGGTTTGGATGCCTAGACAGATGCAGCTGCCATGAAGACTAGAAACACAAAAGGATAGGTTTAGGACTGGGAAAAGAACAAAATGAGGTGGGCTTTTTTTTTTTTTAATGGGGGTTGAAGAGAAAAGGGAAGCATCTTTTTATCAATCTAAATTATACATACATATTAAAAATTAAAATATACATACATATTAAAAATTAAAATCAGGAACTGGGTTGGGGACAGCTCAGTAGTAAAACACTCACCTAACATGTATGAGGCCCTGATTTCATTCCTAGAGCCACAAAAAATAATAATAATAATAACAACAATAAAATAAAAGTAATTTAAAAGTACCAAAGGACTTGTGGTTAAAAAAAAAAAAACAAAAAACAAACCTAGTTTCCCATTCTAAGCCCTACCCCTCAAAGGAAATATAAGTTAATATCTCAAAGTGAAAGATAAGGACAGAGCAATACTTCAAATACCCCCTTCCCCGTTCCTCCTCCATACATGAGACAGCTCTGTTATTAATGTTTAGTCTGATAGAACTAAAAGCTTGCAGCTTTAAATAATAAACTTCTACTTCTTCCCCAACTTTTGTTACTATCCTTGATAAGAAAGGTGTTAGTATTCCCATCTTTCCTTTCACCTTTCCCAACTCTCACTGTTTATCTACACTTTTATTCTGTCAAATTTATTAACCTGTGTGGAACAGCCAAGAGGAAAGTCTAGCAGACAACAAGCCTAGAGCCTGGGGTTGGGTGGTGGATGTCAGTGGGGAGACTCAGGTCTGGGAGTTAGGAGCACTCTCAGGTGGTCACCAGGAACTGGAACAACACATGCAGAGTTCACAGAGGGAGAGAATGGTGGGCCAAGAACTGAGCATACCAATATTATTGGCAGGCACAAGAACAGCCATCAGAGGAGATACAGAGATACAGTCTAGAGATATAGAGATACAGTCTAGAGAGAACACAGAATAGTGTTATAAGGATCAAGTTTTGAGAGTGCATGTTCCCTATCAGCTGCTAGGAAGGAAAGAACAGAGGGGAATCAGATGGAGCTGAATGACAGGTACCAAGACACAGTTAAGTAGGGAATAAGTTTGGGTGTTCTATAGCATAGTAGTTTGCAACAATTCATTATATATTTTATAATATTTTATAAAGAACTAAAAGAAGTTTCCAGATACAAAGAAATGATAAATGTTTAAGGAGAGGAAAATACTATTAGCCTGATTTGATTAATATACATTATACACATGTATGAAATTATTACACCACAGCCCATAAACATATACAATTATTACAAATCTATTAAAACATAAGTTAAAATTTTATTCTAAAAAATTTAATCCCCCCACCCCATTCACACATTAAAAAAAAATACCTGATCCCTGAATACTTACTCAGATATCAGCCAGTATTTTTTGCAATGTCTTCTCCACAGTGGATCATGACTTGATAGCTGGCTAAGTCTTCGACTGACATAGCAACAACTGGTGGTAACCAAATTCACAATTAGTACAAAATAAAAATTTTTAAAACATTTTAAAAATAAAGATGAAAATAGTCTATTAAATTGTTTTATTCCTTTTACTTATTTTCCACTTGCTGTCCTTATAAATACAAACAATACTTTCTAAATTTTGTTTAATGTGTTAGTATAACCCCTTGTGAGTAGTAAAATCTTTAACTATTTTGATTCACACATAAATCCTGAAACCACTACAATTGCAATTTCCAAGAGTCTATTAAAAATAAATACATATAAAATTAGAGTTAACATCAAATCAAGGAGCTTTTCTACATTTATCAGAGTAGTAATTATCAGAATAGTAATTATCTCTATGTATTGGAAGAAACATTATTCAGGTGTAAACAAAGTGGTTTTCAGGTATTTTTCAAGATCTGTAAGATGTATGATACTAAATGTATAGGCCCTTTGCTTTGTTCTAATTTTTTCTTAAAGGAAAAAAAAATACTGTAGCTAAAAAATATTCTTTCATTAAAGCAACTATTGGATAGTCCACCCCTAAAAAGAATATCTACCTCATTATAGTTCTATTTGGCATTTATGGCTATACAAGTTATCAACTGCCCTAAAACATGAACTACTAGAAGCACATGGTTTTCTTATTATATTGAGATTTCCAACACAATAATGCTCTAATCCCATAATGCTACCCTACATAATTAATTTGTAAAAAGAACTGAATCTAAGATTAGGAAAGTGGATTTCTATCCTTTAGAAATCATAACTTATAGAAAGTAGATATACAAAGATCTCACTTGGGCAATAACTAATCAACTCATGAAATCTTACATTACATGGAGTTTGTCAAAAGGCCAAAAGCAGGCATGTTAAAAACTGATCTATCTGTGATAAACATAACAGCCTTTGATTTTCAAATTTTATAGAAACAGCATCCTCTTCCTTTTCTGTTGAGCTCAGGGAATAACCAAACTAACTTTTGTAAACACAAGAATTCCTCTAGTTTTACAAATTCAGGTTCCATTTTCTCTGTTCTTGATTACTCTCCCTCTACTTGCCCCAGTAGTTAAACAACATAAAAGAATTGGGAATGAGAACCAAAGGTGACTTTGATGCACTTCAAGGTTGAAAACTACTGCTCTAGGGTCTGATTCAGTTGGCTTAAAGTGAGAGCTGTACCCCAGGCATTGGGATGTTTAAAAAGTGCCACTAAATATAGAATGAATCTGACAAAAATTATGCAATATGCATGTATAAACATACCACAGTGAGTTCCACCACTGTTCATATCTATAAATGCCAAAGAAAAAAAATGAGTGAGCCAGGAAGCAATGGCCCATGCCTATAATCCAAGTGGCTAGGAAGGCTGAGGCAGGAGGATCTCGTGTTCAAAGCCAGCCTCAGCAAAAGCAAGGCACTAAGCAACTCGGTAAGATCCTGTCTCTAAATAAAATACAAAATAGGGCTGGGGACGTGGCTCAGTGGTTCAATCCCCAGTACCCCATGTCCAAAAAAATAAGTGAAAGGAAGACCAGTAGAGGATAGGAAGTGGGAGTGGAAAAGAAGGAAGGGACAAAGGGAGCACTGGGTATTGAAATGGAGTAAATCAAATTCCACGCACATATGATTTTGTCAAAATAAATCAAACCATTATAGTTTGGTTATAACTATTATAACCACAATGCATTAATAAAAGAAAAATTTTTATTAAAAAAAACTTGCCACTGGTTATTGTGACACACAATGAAGGTAGAAAATGGTGTGTGATAAATCAACCTGGAATGGAGAAACTATGTAACTGATATTATACMAAGAGCCCAGTGAATTAATCCAATCTAAACCAATACAGTTGAGCAAACACATCCTARACCTGTCAGTGCTTGGCAATTGGCTGGACATTTGTTAAGTTGGACTATATGGTACAAGGATGAAGCATAAGTACATGGACACGTCTGTGTAAAATTCAATGGTATTCAACTCAACTGATTTCCACAGCATTTATCAAGGGGTCAGGTGCATCTGTTTAAAATTCTGATTGCTACCTAATGCATTTAGAATAAAATCTCCTCCCTCTGGCTCACAAGATCCTACATGATCTCACCAGCCTCAAGTCAGTCTGCCTGTGAGTCACTGCCTACCTCCAACAACACCAGCCTTCTAGCTCCTCCAACAGGCCATGCTGTTAAAGTCCCATCAGTCTCTGAAAACACTGTTCCCTCTGCCAGTACTGCACTATGCCTTGCTTCATATGTGGCAACTCCTTCTGCTGTGAATCGGTTGTCTCTTCTTCCCAACTTTTAACAGAGCAATCTATTTCCTTCCAAGCACTAAGCACCTCTTATGTACTTGTCTTTCCATCTTGCCCATTAGTCTGTAAGCTCCATGAKATACCTTATCTGCATGGTTTGCTACTGTATCCCTAACGTTTAATAGGCTGGCACACCGAAGGTACTCCAAAAAACAAAAATCAGTTGAATACACGATGAATATAAAGATAAAAACATTTTTTACATTTGAGAACATACCATATTTTTGGTAAGGCAAATAAATTCTGTACAGGAAGGAAGAAGGTAAAGGAAGGTCTTAGAGGAATTTCACCTTGTCAGGTTAAGAGGGGAGCAAGATATTTCCAGCAAGGTCAAGAGCTTAAGCCACAAAATGAAAAAGAAGCAAGTACACTGCATTTGCTTCTGCAATCTGAAAGGCCTTAGAAAATAAGCCAGATGATAAAAGCCTTATATGCCCCACAAGTTTAGGTTACAATCTGTAAATAAGGAGTAATGAAGGTTTTTAAGGTTTTTATTCGTACTGAGAATGACAGCCAGATGCCTTGGGACGATCACTCTGGCAGCAATCAAAAGGGGGTGGGGTGTCTAGACAGCAAGAGGTCATAGCAACAGAATATTCCAGATTAAAGCAGTTGGAGCTGAACAGCCTTTCCTGAAGAAAAACGATTTCTCTTCTTTAATACAGCCTGAGTAGGGGAAAAAAAATCATTTTTCTAGAAAAATAAAAGCAGTAGCAGGTACTAGTAGAGGTGCCAGAAAGAAACTAGAGATATCCCTCTGAAACCACTTAGCTAGGCCAACCAACATCTAGCTATCTGTTAACTCCAAGTAATATGTATATCTATAAGGACCCTTAATAACACAAACCACCATCATCAACGGCTAGAACCAACGGTTATCCAAAAAAACAAAACAAAACAAAACAAAACAAAACAAAACAAAAAATCGAAACAGGCCTTGCCTACCAGTACAGAGCGACTTTGTCTCCTCTGCAAACATTCATGGTAGGTAGCACAAAAAACTCAAAGCCACGCTGTCAAGGATGTAAACAATCCTGACACCCGAGGGTCGAGGAAGCGCCTTTTCTTCCTCCATTCCAGACCATCCCAATTTCTTAAAGGAATTGAACCACCTTTACCAGCAACCGGTGTTTATTTTTGGAACAGATGTTCTAAAGTGGGAAACCCTGCAAAAGACAGTCACCTGTATCGCATCACCGGAAGTCAGAACCAAAACACAAAATTCCAGCGTCCAGTCATAAGGAGGACAGTTGAGAACAAAACAATTCTCAACACACAAGTCCGAAGTAACCTCTGCCAGCGACCACCGTGACGGGTGCGCGGCACCTGAGGGGTCAGGGGTCGCCTGCCTCCTCGCGCGTTCTACCTGCCCACGCTGGCAAAGGATTCTGCAGGCGAGGAGGCCAACAGAGACAAGCGACCGCCAGGACAGGGGTTTATCTACGGCGTYCAGGGCTGGGCCAGACCCAGAGGGGCCTCTGCGGAACCAGCGGTGGTCCACGGGTCGCGGCGGGGCGGCACCCGGGCGATACCTCCCTCCCTGCAATTGGGCCTCGGCGAGGCCTGGAAGAGAGAGCTCTTGTCTCTCGGGGCCTGAGGCCTGAACGGGAGGAAGACCCCAGGGCCGGGCCCTCTCCTCTCGGTCTCCCCTGGCCCAGCTGGCTCTGCACGATAAGGACGGCCCTGGCGTCACCTTCTGGTGCCGCCGGGGTCCAGTCCTGTCGGCGTCCCCAGCCTCCTTCCCTCCTGCCTCACCGCCTTTTCTCCCACCCCGGCTATGCGCACCGCCCTATTACTTGATTAGGTCCCGGTAGTCCAAGAAGGATAAGATGAGGAGCAGGGGATCGGTGGGCAGCGACTCCAGGGTCATAGGCACCGTCTCGGCCTCCATGGCCGCCATCTTGCCTGGCCCGGTGCAARCCTAGTCCCGCCCCAACCCCGCCCCGGCCCCGCCCCCGCCGCCGCCCGAGCCGCTCCCCATCGGCTCGCACAGGTTTGTTATGTAACTGCCAGCTAGCCCCGCCCTCAGGGCGGTCCCCGGGGCGGCTCCCGGGGAGGCCCCGCCCCCGYCTCCGCCTCCGCTGCAGGCTGCGGGCGGGCGCTGGATTCTCCGCCGCAGCATTTGCTTCTGCTGATATTCCCACCTACCCAGATCCCTCCTCTCGTTGCAGCTCCTAAACCTGCCCAGCTCTTTGTCAGCCTTTGTTCCCGAGTCCTCTRTGGCAGCCCCTCAGTCCCTCATGGGCAAATTTACACCCGGAATCCTCAAAATCTCACACTAACTACTCCCTGCTCTTGGGCCCCGAAACCCATCGCTTCTCTTCGTTTTCCCAACCGGGAACCCTTCGTTTCCCACTTCAGCCTCCCTGGTCGCACGTGTCCCTCCCACACAGCAGGGCTGGTCCCAGGCTTGTCCATTTGATTGGAGCAAGACTAGGAATCAGCCAGGGACGCTGAAGAAGGCTCTTCTCCTCGAGCAACAAGTATTCTTAACACTGACTCAAGTGTCGGCTCTGTCTCTTAATTTGGCTATTTGTCAGCCTATTAGGGCAATGCAAAGTACATAGTAAATGGATTTTTAAAATTCATTTATTTGGCTAAGGTTTAGATCTCTGAGGATTAGAGGGATGCACTGAGACCCCAGGAGGGCATAATGACAGAGGCACAAGATGGCTGTTTCTTCAGCTTTGCCAGGATGGTATTAAAATGGGAGTGGAAGAAGTAAGTGTAACAGATYCTGAACCAAAGAACACATGCCTTGTCGGATTTCTTTCCCGTTGTTTTTCTAGGAGCAGTATGGTGTAGGGATAGGTGAAGGCTTGGGGAATCCATGAAGACCTGGACTTCAAGTACCTGTCATTTATTTGACTGTTAGTGACATGTTGGACGAAGTAACCTTATCTAAATTCTATGAGCCTGCTTCTCATCTCTAAAAACCACCCCTCCTAATGTGAATTAAAGATGATAATAACCCTTTGTTTTTATCAAGTGCCTGGCTAGATACCCAATAAATATTTCCCAAGCTTATACATACAGCAGTCACTAAGTTTGCCGAACTTGTTCTTGAACCAACTTGGATTTAAATTTTCTACTTGTCATGTCCTGAAGAAAGTTTCTCCGATATTTGGAAAAGTGCAAATAAACTCCTTCACTCTCTCCAAAAAAAATGTATTTTCTCAGTTCACTATGTCATTAATGCCTTCTATTTATGGTTTTGTTTTTATAGTTATAACTCCTACCCTTGCCCAGAAAAATGAAATAACCTCTTGCCCATATCTCTGAACTTCCAAAGTATTTATGCATATATATTATTTACTGAATTGGGTTCAGGTTGGTTGTTCTTTGTCTCTCCAAACTGTAAACTCAGACTTATTTATCCTTGTAAACTCAGGACATAGTACGGCATTTGATAAGTAGAAAATTTAAATCTAGGTTGGCCCAAGACAGCAGTCTTTTCTGTTTACTAGGGAATCATGTCTATTATGTAGGTAAATGTTTATAAAGGCAATTGATCCTAATTTCTATTTATTTCTATTTCTCTCTCAGATAGGCTACTTGTTTTAAATCCAAAAGCTGGTGGGGTTTTCAGGTACACTGCATTTGCTTCTACTATCCCATTGCTCTTGTACTTGCTCTAAGCTGTGACCCAATACAGAAGACCAAAAAATGAAGTTATATTACTGTCTTGACCAGGACTAAGGTAAATTGAGAGAGGCACTTGTCTAGGGCATAAAACAGAAGAGAAGAGCCAAAAAAACACCTCAGTAATCAAGAGAAATAACATTTTAATGCCATGTCTTTAAAAAAAATCAAACTTGATGCAAAAAAATTTCCATGAAAACAAAACACTKAAATCTTAAATAAAAACAAAATCAAATAAGGTCATCCAAGCCATAGTAAAGTCTAAAGCAAAAGGGAAGATCTGTATCTCTGAACGCATGTTTTTATTTATTTTAAAATGGTTAATTCTCAGCTGGGTATGGTCATTCATGCCTGTAATCCCAAAGACTTGAGAGTCTGAAGCAGGAGGATCAGGAGTTCAAGGCCAGCCTCAGCAATTTAGTGGGGCCCTGAGCAACTTAGTGAGAACCTCTCTCAAAATACAAAATTATAAAAAGGGCTTGGGGATGAAACTCAGTGGAAAAGGGCCCCAAGTTCAATCCCCAGTACCAAAATAAATAAATAAAATAAAATAAGTTAATTCCCACCATGAATACCACTAAAAGGTGAAAAGCAAGTCAGATGAATGACTTGCTTTTCCCTCATGACTGGGTCCAGAGTTCCCACTATGCGCCTTCAGCCTCTCTTTTCTACACTGCCACCCTCTGCCATTCCTTCTTTGGAAGATACCATTGGATTGCCAGCCCCTTGTGCCACAGACCAGGCCTTCTTGAGGAGTAGCCTCAACCCAGACTTCATTTTTCTCTCCAACATGTTATGAGACAGGTGAAGGAGGTTGGGGAAGCAATGCAGGTAGTTAGGATCCAGGACAGCTCTTCCTTTCCTGGGTGTTGGCTTCCTATTGACCCCWCTCTGCCACCAATAATGGCTGGACAAAGGGATAGGAAGGAAGAGCCCAGGACTTGTTAATCCAGGTCTTCTATGCTTTAGGAAGAGGGGAAGGAACTGGGCATGGTGGTGCACACCTGTAAACCCAGCAACTTGGAGTTTAAGGCAGGAGGATCATAAATTCAAAGCCAGCCTTAGCAATTTAGCAAGGCCTTAATTGACTCTTTCAAGCAGCACTATTTATAATTAATCGAGGAGGACTGTCTTTAAATGCAAGCATATATTTGATCACACCAATGCAAACACAGTTAATGCAAAAAGTGTTGGGTGTGCTGGAGCACCCCAACTAGCATTCAATGCCCACTAAGTAAACACTAGAAGCAAATCACACAATCCTAGGGCAACCAGGAGCCTCAAATTACTTCCCGATGCCATGCAACTTCTCTTAACTGAAGAGCAGACGTTGTTGTCTGATGGTTCTCTCCAGCCGACTGTTGGATGTCAGGGAATAGTGGATTCAATCTGGGGACAGACAGCAAGGCGGCCAGTCTCACTGATATCTTCAGAGCAAAGCTCTTTGATGTGGCAGGGCAAACAGTTGAAACATAATTCCAAGTTGGTGTTGTTTGTTGGTTATTAGTTACACCTAGTGAGACATTGGTTTCACCCAATGTCCATTGGTCATGTCCAGTGAGATGATGTAATTACAACAGAGCATGTTCTTTGTGCATGTCCATGGAGCTGGCTCCTTATCAATTGTAACCAATTTTTGCTAAGCATGCCTATGACCAGTGCCCCTTATAACTCCTTATCAATTGCAACCAGACATGACTAAGCATGCCTATGGCTGCTGTTCCTATGTTCGTATGTGGAATTTATTTTTAAAGTTTCCTTTTTTTCCTCTGGAATAGAATGAACAAAGCTTGAGAAATAAATATACTTACATGCTCCTTCAGGACCCCAGTGTCACCTTGACTAGAACAGTCCTTACCAGACAATACCCTACTTCTTGGTAATCACATTGTAGCTTTGGCTACAATGAAGTTCCCAAGGGCCATTCAGTTAAATTCTTCAGATATTAATTCACATTTTATCATGTGTAGCATTTGGGCTCAGGAACTGAGAAGAAAATAGTGCCGGGACTCCTCTTTAGAAGGTGAAAAGTATACTCCCTAAAAGCTTGGTTTGGGACAGACAGATCCAAATGGCCCTGGACCTTCATTTTCCCCCTCGTTTTCATGGTTTGGTAACTGGCTGCCTCAGCAGAGTGAGTGAGCTTGGGGTATGACAGGAAGTCAGGAGATGCTGAGCTCTAGAGAGTTCTTCTAAATAATGGGCTAATGTACCCCCTCCCCATATGTAAAACACAATAGTTCAGGGTCCAGCTCCATTGGCAGCTTTCTGGGATGTGTCAGTCTTACTCTGCCTAATCCTAGGGGGTCCTACAAATGGGACAAGAGAGCTGAGAGCTAGGATGGGCAATGGAATGGACAAGAGGATGGTCTGCATTCTCCTCCTTCTCTGTTGGGCCCTGAATTCCAATTTGCAATTATAGTATGTACCCTTGGATTTGTGTGCCCTCAGCCTCTGAACTGCAGCTACATGTTGGTTGTGCCCCAAGCTCCACATTGACTCAGGGCTAGTTAAATGTTTTTGGAGCCATCTGGGAGTCCTGGAAATGAGGGACGGGAGGACAACATTGAGACCTTAATTTCCCAAATAAGTGCATCTCCCTCCCCAAAAAATTTCAAAAAACAAAAAAATACCTGAGCTGAAAGGCTGCTGGTGATTGGTAAGAAGACCCACCTCTTCAGAGCCCAGGAAAATTCAGCAGTGTGCTGAGATCAGGGAGAAGGAGAAAAGTACTGGGGTGATGAAGAATGGATTTAGCTGCTCCCATGGAGCAAAACCACAGCCAATTTCATGGCCAATGAGAATCATGAAAGGGATGTAAAAGATTTATAGGCACAGTTCTAGCAACTATTCAAACTGAGTTCTGGGACTTAGTTGCTTGCTCCCTTCTTAGGCAGAAACTTTATTCCTGAATTCACCAAATGTCACTTACTTTTTCTTTTGTTCATGTTTTCTTACAGCCCATGAACCTTCTGGAACTGCCATTTGGATATATTTTAAGTGTTCCTTATTTGTGTCTTCTAATATGGTGGACTAAGTGTGTCTACAGCCAAGAATGGCCTGCAATCTCAAAGCCTGCCAAGATTGCTTTATTGAAATAAAGTCTCCCACCAGGCAAAGACAAAATGCACTATTCTCAACCAAGATGTAATACTGACCAGGGTGCTGAACACCACCACCCGCCAGTTCAATAGCGCTACAGGGCTGGGGCCCTTAGTGTCTAGAGTCTGCCTGTGTCCTGTGGAAGCTTAAGCAGTTCAGTGGCCACTGTTGATCT